CCCCTCCCTCTCCGTCTCCTTCCCTCCATCTCTTGCACAAAACAAAAAAATTAAAACCCTAACTCCTAAGCATGTGAGTTTGGAATTCCTGGACTCCCTCACTCCCTTGAGAAACAAATATATAGATAAATGCAAATACATAGTATATGTATAATCGGTGAAACCAAACAAATGCAATTTGACACCCAAAAAGGCAATTTTATTTGGCTTGAACCTAATGTCAATGTTTTGCATTGTAGTTGTATAGATAAAGCCTATGTTTGAAATCAAACTTCAGTCTCTACTCCAATAACTATAAAGGATATTTTTCCTAGTTAGAAAAGTACCCTGTTGACCTCCCTGACCGCATTTTGAACATTTCCCATCTTTGTTCCTATTAGGAGGTACATAATGTTTAGATGTTTCTACTTCATCGTAGCTATCATAAATGCTTAATGCCTAGATCCATGCGCTCCCTGGGGCTGCAAAATAGCAGTGTTTGAATTCTGTTGTTGGCATTTAACTGTTAGTTGGGATGAAATTATAAGAAGATGCTTTCCCTCTTATGCAGTTGGCTGCACAGTGGTAGAGTTTATTTGAGAAAGACACAATAGATATTTGATATTTTACTCAGTTTTCAAGATAATAATTTGGTCAACCTCAGAGGTGACCAACTCTTATTATTTTAAAAATATGGAATCTCTGGGTCATAAGGCAGTTCTATTTATTTTAAATGTTTTGAGGAAACTCCATGCTGTTTCCCACAGTGGCTGCCCCAATCTGCATCCCCACCAGCAGTGCACAAGGGTCCCCCTTTCTCCACACCCTCGCCAGCACTTGTTTGTTGACTTGTTGATGGAGCCATTCTGACAGGTGTGAGGTGATATCTCATTGTGGTTTTAACTTGCATCTCTCTGATGATTAGTGACAAAGGAATTAAGCAAAAAATAAACACCTCAGAGATGCAGACAATATAGTATGGTGATTACAAGAAGGAAAGGGTGGGGGAGGTAGACAAGGGTAAAGGGGGAATAAGAGGTGACAGAAAGACTTGATTTTGGGTGCTGAACACACAATACAATATACAGTTCATGCATTATAGAATTGTACACTTGAAACCTACATAATTTTATTAACCAACATTACCCCAATAAATTGAATCAAAATTTAAAAAGGGTATCTTTATGAATTTACGCATTTATAGATATCTGTTGGGTTTCAATTCATGACAACTTTTTTCTTTATGGAAGCTCAGATTGTCCTCACCTGTGGCCTGTGGGCGCCTCTTCAGGCTGATTTCTGAATTCATTTGACGTAAGCCTATCAGTCTTTGTTTCCTTCCTATACCAGAATGTTTCAGGCTCAACTGATACAAGCCTGCGTCATCCCCGACCAGAATCAACCTGCTCTCCCACAACCTCTTGTTTCTTGCAGTGGGAATTTTTTTTTTCTTTCTTCAAAATCCAAGTCTGGGAGCTGGGGATGCTTTTTGATATTGAGTCAATGTTTCTAGACTTTTCAGTGGACAGAACTAAAACAGAGATAAAATACCTTTTGAGTTTAAACTGGTTTTTCTAAATAAATGTTTGGAACACAATACTTAAGTTTTGCTATTTTAAATCTGTATGTTCTTTTGTCCACATCAAGCACCTGGTTCTCCAGGACACAGAGGATGAGAGAATTAGAATGTTTTATGATCACACATTTGCTTTGTTCCACATTACATTAGTCTCAGAATAGCGACAATAAGAGTATCACCATAAATCATAATTATTGAAACACTTTTGCATATACTGTCCCTATTGTCCCTAAATTCTGCCTGGGGTTATAATATATCTTCAAAATCAGGGTATGTAGCCTTGCAAAATAAAACCTCTCTCTTTCAACCCTCACTTAGTCTTAGTTCATTAAATCTGTCATTCACCAGTTAGCCCAATATCTCCCTTGATCATTGCAAATGTCTAAAGCTCATTTTATAGTAGTTTTCAGGATCAGGGGAACAATGTCCCTGATTACTTGCAAGTTGGTAACAGTTTGGGTGTGTCCTTTATATTTAAATTTCTGTTGACTATAGAATTCTTGAATCACTTTTTTCGCCTTGACTTTCTCAAATAAATTACTCCAGTTTCGTCTGGAATAAAGTGTTGTGGTCCAAAGGCCTGACTATCATATCATTTCCCCCTTATAAGTCATGTGTTCTTTCTATCCTGATGCCTAAAAGATTTTTTTAAGTAAGCAAAAGTTTCTTGAAGTATATTTTTTAGTATTTGTTCTGTTCCGTTTCTTTGGTTTTCTTCCTCAAAGGTAACTATCACTCGTGAGTTAGATCTTCTTTCTTTAGTATCTGTCACTTCCTCCTGAACTCTTTTTACTCTCTCTTAATTTCTGCTTTGCTTTTGTTTTCCTTTTGTTTATTTGTTCATCTAGATAGCCTCTATTTCTAAAATTATTTTTTCGCTTATATATAATTCTTGAGTTTATGCCAATTCGTTTCTGAGATTGTTCTAATTCTGCGTCAATCATGCATATTTGGCATTTTATTGTCTTCATGATGTTTAGCTCATTTTGAGATGGTGACTTGCAGGTCTGAACTATTTTTTTGTGTAATTTTTATCCTGTGTGTGTATGTGTGTGCGTGTGTGTACTTGTCTACATGAATGATATGCTCCTCATTTTATTGTGTAAGAAATTAATCCGCAATTTACTTAACCTCAACAGATTTTTGTTGCTTTCTTTCCTGTGATTTGTTTCCTGACACTCCCAGAGTTCACATAACCTTTCTCAGCACACAGAGCTCCTCGCCTGTTGTTTCCATTAGACCAGGGCTCACATGCCAGCCCGGCAGGGCCTGCGGGTCAGATCTGGCCCAGGTCCTGTTCTCGTTTGGGTACCACTGAACTAAGAATTGTTTTCATATATACGAAGTGCTGTCAGCAAACGAAACAAACACAAATATGTGACAGAGTGGTTTACAAAGCTGAAATATTTACTATCTTTGCCCTTTGCAGGAAAGTTGGCCAACCCTTGATATGCACTAAAACTGACGCACTGTTTTTTCTAAGTGTTGGGACAATTCCTCTTTCCTACTTTCATCTGGATTTTCTCTTCCCTTCATTTCTATTGCTTCTGTCTGGCTCAGATTTTAAATCTCTTTCGAGTTGTTTGTCCTCAGGGTGAGCCGTGGCCTGGAAAGGAGCCTTTGCGGGCTAATTTGGGGAATTTTTATTCGCTGTTCTCGGCTGCTCCGCTGCCCTTCCTGGCATTGCCTGGTGACGGTTTAGTTATGATGTCTCAGGCTGGATGCGGCCCTCTGATTCCCCCCGCACAGCGCTGATAACAGGCGTGGCCCAAGGTGCTGGCTGAGTTGCCTGCATCCACCTGTGTTTTAGGCTTTGAGAGTTTACCTCGGCACCTGGTTTTGTTGGAAATGATCAAATGTTTTGCTTTCCTATCTAGTCGGTCAGTTTCTTTTTATGTGAAGATTCAGAAAGCTCAGAAAAGTATAGTGCTAACACTGCCGCCTTCCCCCCAGAATCAAACTCACTCATCTTTAATCCGCAATGTACTTAATAGAGTCTATTAAATTTAATTTACCCTGAGTACTTCAGTACACTAAATAAATCAACATGTTCATATTCTTTCTGTTTTTTCCTCCAGAGTCAAGCTCCCATTATGTAATCTCCCTAAAAGCTTTCAATAACGCAGGAGAAGGCGTCCCTCTCTATGAAAGCGCCACCACCAGATCTATAACAGGTGAGCCACCAGAGTTAATCCCGTCGTGACAAGTAGTCAGTGTTTGAGTTATGACCAAAAAATAAAAAACGAAAGCAAAATAAAACACAAAAAATATATGTAGTCATGTTCCGAGCCTTACTGGAATGTGTGCAGATGCACACACAAACTTTATTATTTTTTCGGTTTTCAAATTGAAGTAGAGAAATTCAGCCTATAGATTAGTATGTGGACTTAGGGAAAGAGAGCTCCCACTCTCTCTCCTTCAAGCTCTTCATATTTCGGTGCCCCGATATCACTCTTCATTCTCCTGAGCAGCTTGTCTCACATCAGTGCAATTTTGACAGAAGGGTCTCTGCACAAAGGCTGCCAAGTGCGTGAAGGGGCACTTGCTTCTCTGGAGAGGGTCCTTCAATCCTATATGACAAAGATGAACTGCCCTCCTGGGGCTGGACTGGCCTGGGCCGAGTCACACAGTGGCTTCTTCCTGAGTTGGACCTACATGTCGCCCCATAGCGTCCAGGGCCTCTGGGCATTAAGGGATTGGCCGCTTCCAGGGCTTGTCACCTCTAGGAATTCTTATGTGTGTTGGTGTGTAAAGGCCCCACACCAGAGAAAATGGACTCAGAGGACTAAGAGGAGGATGGGTGAGAAAGTGAAATCCGAGCCATTCGTGGAGACTGTGAGCAAGGCCGGGCTTGTTAAAAAACAGAATAAGTGACACTTCTGTGGTCTGTTCAGAGACACCGGAAAGTCACATGACCACCCCCAATAGTCTTATGTCTGAAATCTGAAAGTAAAACCCAAGGTTTTCATCTCTTTAATGAACACTTTTGAACACTGTGACCCCAACCTCTCAAAATCCACAACCCTCAGAACTCAGATAACTTATAATGAGAATGAAAGATGTAAGGGCAGGATTTGATAGTGAGCGGCAGAGGACATGGGGAAATTCCTAAGTGCCTGAGTGTGAAGTCCTGACAAGCAAGCAAGAAGAAATGAACGTAAAATAAATAGTGGGATCCTGTGACTTCTGCTACCTGAATTTACGTGAACTTTGTGCAGTTTGTTTTCTGCACTCACCAGCCCCATTCATAAACTATTTGGAGGATACGCAGTTGTTACGCGGAGTCACAGTTATTACATGATTGTCTCCAGAGCAGAGCATCACTTTATTGATCCCAGATTTTCCAGTAAGGCAAAGTTGTTATTCCAGATTCCCTTTGACTTTTTGGCCATTGGTTTCAAGGTCTATAATTTGCCAAAATGGTATGTGAAATTTGGGTATATGTCAGCATATGCAGTTATCTGTGAAGACAGTATATATCTTTCATTGTATTTTCAAAGAGACTCAGGGCTCCACAAAAGGGTAAATAAGAAGTACTTCTGAATTATTTAAGTTCAGAGGCAAATCCCGACAAACAGCATTGCTTGAAATTTGAGGGATGCATTCTGGAACCGAGACTCCAAAAAACTCAACAAGTCATAAAAAATATGCTATTAGAAAATTCAGAAAGAGCAGGATTGAGTTATTAGCATTTCTTAAAGTAGAATTATTTTCAAAATGTTACTATTAAACATATGATCCCTAAATATAGAGAGATGAGGCAGTAGAGATCCAGAGTGTAAAATACAAGATAACTCGACGGATGGCTGTCTGGGATTTCCACTTCCCCTCGTTCTCCGCTTCTGCCGGCAGCAAGGTTCTCCGAGAGGTGGCAGCCCACTTTGTCGGTGCCTGCTGCTCACTGACGTGGCGACTGAGCTTGTGACCAGGACACACAAAATTATACTATCGCCAGTCTTTTAAAATTATTATTATTATTATTACCAAAACTAAAGCCCTCAAAGAAGGATCACTTAGGTGACCAAAAAATAAACACAATTTTGAGCAGCAAGTAGTAGTAATAGAAATAGTGGAGTTCCGATCAACTGAAGAGAAGTCGCTCAGAAGGAGGCATTGCGGGTGTTGGTAAGCCCCACGCCTTAGCATCGTTGTCAGTCTAATTCTCAGCACGTGGCATTGCCAGAGGGGCTGCTCAGACGCCAGTGATCCAGAAGACAGGTTTTCCCCCCGATGTAACTCTAATCCTCATGGATCTGAGAAATTAGAAGTCGGATATTGTGTGAGGAATTTTCTCGTTGAAGAAAAGTCAGTGTGGGGTTGAAGATCCCGCCCTTTGGGAAAGTAGAGCCCACCCTTGCCCTGGAAGGGCCGACTTGCTGTCCTTCCACACGTCATGAGGATCAAGGACAAGTAAGTGGAGCCAAGGGCTGAGGCTCTGGGAGGCGCCCTATCAATAAATGCGTCCTGGGGCCACACACGATGCGTCGCCTGCCTCCCCTCCTGCGGGGTGTGCCCGTGAGCGGCTGGGAGGAGGCGGGTGCAGAGGAAAGAACAGCCCAGAGGCAGCAGGTGCTTCAGGCCAGAGCAGGCCCCGGGCCGGGGCTGCCCACACGC